GGCTGTAAACAGCATTTTTTCTGTTGTAAGGTTGGCCATTCTAACAGTGGGCTCAATAGAAATTTGCTCTATATGGAGCCATGACTAGCGGAATTTCGATGAATTGCAGTTTCAGTTACTTCCGTATTGGCTTCCCGAGGGAGAGTGGGAGGTTGCCGCTTGATATTAATACAAGCTCAAATGAGATTGTTGTAAATTTGACTCAAATTATGTAATAATTGCTTGTTAAATGTGTTATTTTTGTCAAAGAATATATTTTCCATGCATACATCCACTTTAAAAAGTTGTTTTATCAAAGATTTGTGGTTTCATCAAGTTTTATGATGATTGATCTGTATATTCTAAAAGCAGTGCAAATTAGATGTGTTAATATGATAATTTTTTTATCAGACAATATCTTTTCTTCACTGTAAAAAAATATTATTATTATTATTATTATTATTATTGTTATTATATTTTATAAGAGATTATTTTATTGTTTTATGATGATTGTTAAGTAAATATAAATAGCAGTGCAAACTAATTTAACTTGTAAATCAGACTTATTAATAACTATTAAAAAATATGTTTTGTGTTATAGTGACATGTTTCTGTCCGATATTTATTCCATGCATACTGCCACTTTTTTTTGTTTTTTTGTTTTTGTGAAGGATTTGACATCTGGCCTTTCACTTGGTTTGCAAAAAAAAGAAAAAAGATTCTAAAAAGATTGCCCAACACTGTACTAAAGCATATTGGAAAGTGCTTCCTTTATCAGTACATGAATATACCAATCTCGCTTACAATATTATTAAGTTCAACCAAGTAAATTTACAGTACAGTTTGTCTGCATTACAGGCCTCGTTTTAATGCTAATACTACAGAGGAAAACACTTGGATTGCCATATGATGTTTAAAACACTGTCTGGTGGCTTTATTACTTTTGAAAGCAGAGGAACTGTACTGTAGGTGGGAGGAATTGACTTCTACAGTCAGTTTGCCAGGAGCAACTGTTGGCCTGCTTGAGAGAATTTAGTTGGATTACAGTTTTGTGTGTTTAATCAGCTATAGATGCACAGTATGTCTTTATTTATGTTGTGGTTTGATCTCACAAACACATATAACATGGCGCACACTCACATACGGATTAGCATACATGCCATACGTGAAGATGGCTCTCGGACATGCTCTGCCAACTTCTCTGACAGTTGCTTTAGGAGTCAATGTTTGTTTTTTAAGCCTTTCTGTTGGACTCATGTCATGTTTTAAGACTATTTTTGAGCCATGTTTGAAAGTCATGTTTTTAGGGTCATGAATGCATTTTCAGTGCTGCTTTTTGGAGTCTTTTTTTTAAATCAGGGTATCTTTTGAAAATAAGATTGTCAATTAAAGTTTTTTAATTGTTTATTTTCATTGGCAAATGGGAAGATTTAAGAAAGCTATATGAAAAAAAGAAAATTTTCTTATATTTAGTTTTTCAATATTACATCTAAAAATGACAAACTGTTAAAAACGAAATGAAGAAAGTTTAATTTACGCCATTCACATTTTTTTCGTTACTTGCAGGTAAGGCACTATGTGAAATCTAAAACTTGTAATTTTGAATGTATCTGATAAACGTGGTTTTTTTTTTTGGTCTTCTTGAACCCTCCACAGTCCATTCATCTTATTTCAAATTGTGTTGGGTTATTTGAAACCTTTGCCTCAACATCTAATAAGAAATTTAAACTGGCTTGGGAGGATGAACTTGGAACTGGGATATCAGAGGAACTAGGGGATAAGTGCCTGACTGAAGTATGGTCCTGTTCGGTAAAGAGTAGGCACCAGTTAATATAGTTTAAATTTATAAAATGCCTGCACTACACCAAAACCAAATTACACAAATTGTTTCCCCTCTATTTGACCTATGTGTAACAAGTGTCAAAATACAGAGGACACCACAGCTCATGCATTTTTATTTTGCCCAACTTTGTTTAATTTTTGGACAAACATTTTTGATTTATACTCTAAGGCCTATAATATTTCCCTCCAACTGGACACAGAGCTAGCTATTTTTGGTAGAACACTCCCTCACTTTTCCAAAACATCTACAACAAGCCCTTATAGCAGCTAATACTAAAAAACTGGAAATCTCCTTGAACTCCTTCTTTTCAAACCTGGTTAATGAATATGCCCTCTGTTATCCACTTGAAAAGGCTTAGATTTATCATGTCGAATTCCAACAAAAAATTCTTTGCTACCTGGGAACCCTTTCTTGGATACTTACACCTTAAAACTGCTCAAATCCAGCACAACTTCATGAAAAGTGACTGGCACACTACCTTATAGGACTTTTTGATGTCTACATACTGTGGAACACTACATTTGGTTTCACGGCAAAGTTTGAGCAGGAGATATTCTTTGTCTCGGGGACACTCATATACATAATGAGGATCCATCCTGAAAAGGTGAAGGTACATTAACTCTAAGTATTAAAGTATAAGTATTAAAGAATCCAGGCCTCCTAGATCATGAGCTGTAGGATTATGTATGGAACAGAATGATACCAGACATGACACTCTTTAGTAAGGGTGTCACGATTCTCCAAATCCTCGATTCGATTACATTTTCGATAAAGGCACGATTCGATTCGATTTTCGATTATGAATAATTAATTAATAAATGACCAATTAATTATTTGTAGCCTATCGTTTAAACTACCTGACCTGCATGGTCTTTGTTTTACCTTAAACAAATCATACAGTAAATGAATAAAGGCAAGATACACACATAATTACCACCTGTCAATCACTTTTTTCTGCGGGACTCGTGAATAGGCAGTGATCTGTGTCGTTATAATGGCGTCGGTAAAAAAGACGCCCAACCAACAGGAACCAGCCAACAGTATCTGAGGTGTTCGCTAAAATGACTAAGTACAAGTGAGTGAAAGATTGAAGCAGTCTACTGATCCTCTGACTGCCTGAACCCGCTGTCTCGAGCCCATGGCTGTGTGTGTGCGTCTGTGTGTGTGTGTCAGAGGTAGAGAGGAAGGAGGGCTGCTCAGAAATGCTACACGCCACTGTGGATGTCAAATCGTTGTCGTTCTAAAATGCCATTTAAAAACAAAGACAGTGTAAACAGGGCCTGAGTGTGTACTTTTCGCGAGCGGATTTGCAACGGGGGCTGGCGGAGGATCGCGATGCCGGTGTTGTCTATCGGACGAACCCTAATACGTACATAGCAGAGCTTGCAAAACTGTGTTTTTTTTGTCGACAACACGAACCTTGTCAACATAACTCACTGGAAATCCAAAATGCTTACACACCGGCGACTTCATTGAAAGAGGAGAGGATTTAAGTACTGTCGACTGGTCTCCTGCTTCTGCAGTTAAACAAGCACTTAAACAAGCCTGTTTTTTTACCCGCTTGGCAAGCCAAGCTGACGTGACATGGGGGCGTGGCAGCATCGACGATTCTATTTTTTGATTCGATAATTGAAATTGAGCATTAATTTCGATCGATTTCAATTTTACTCTTTAGAATAACATAAAACATAGTTAAGGCATTCTTAATTTGTCTAGTGCAGGGGTGTCCAAACTCTGTCCTGGAGGGCCAGTGTCTTGTAGATTTTAGCTCCAACGTGCCTCAACACACCTGCAAGGATGTTTCTAGAAAGCCTAGTAAAAGCTTGATTAGCAAGCCCAGGTGTGTCTGATTCAGGTGATTCAGCCCAGGTGTTCATCTAATTTGCTTAAACTAGGCATTCTAAAGTATGGCTATATTTTACAAGCAAGGATTCTGACTTACCAACATGCAGCAGATGCTTTACAAAAGTTGCATGTAAGGGGGGAAACACGTCAAACTTATGAAATGTGAGGGCTCATGTAATCAACTTAAAGGTAAGGAATGGACTGTCTTTGACAGCTTGTAACATCATCTGGCACTTTCAGTGAGTACGTTTACATGGACACCAATACTCTGGTTTTAATATGATTAGGACAATACTCTGATCAAGAGATAATCAATTTTTGATTATCTTAAAGGACCACAGACACAAACTTCAGAGGAAACATTTATTGGCTGGTGATGCAATGACATTACTGGATCTATGTGCTATAACAAGCAACTCATGTAAACATCTGAATCATATTATAGTCTTATTCCGATTTAGAAATCATTAGATCACTGATGCCACAAGCCCCAAACCAATAAAAAGATGTTCCCTGATTTTGATCATAGCTTTTCCACAGGTTTGTAGTAAGCTAATGTAATGGTAATTGCATAATGCAAAGCTTGGATTCATTCTAACAAACAAATGAACAAAAGACATGTATAATAGCTCTGGCCAACATCTTGGTAGACAAGATGTCACAGAGTAACAGACTTGCTGGCACTAGAGGTCATAAACTCCATAAATGTAGAAATGAACCCAGACTCCTTTCAGGGATCATAACGGAATTTTACCTCTGGACTCTGTTACACATGTTTATGACCGGTTTATGACAGGCTGTGCTGTATTGACAATAACATTATGATTAGTTTTAGTGTATTTGGTTGTGTCAGAAATGGTTGTTTCATAGTTAAGAATATTTTAGTGGTGAGTTGTTGAGCTGATGTTGTTTGCACTTCATTTATGATCTTTTTGAATGTCAAGGACCATAATTTTAAAAAGCCAATAGAATATTTTGTATATTTTATCCATTACCGTTTTTGAAAATGTGCAAGAATCAGTCTTATTGCACTGGTTTGAATATTCCTGAAAATTTTGTCAGATAAAACAAACTTTACACAATCAAATGTAGATTATTTGATCATTTTAACATATAAAGAGTTTTATTTTGCTATTAAGTTTGAGCCAAAATCAGTAATAAATTAATATCACAAAAAAAGCTCTGCATTAAAAAAATAAAAAGACCTACACCATAATTTGATCAAAACAATACAGGAAATGTTCTGCTGGCTCTCTGGCGTGAGTCTAGAGAAGTGGTGAATGCAAAATAACCTCCCCTATTGTGAAGGCTGATTTGTTTTCTTTTGCTACAGGTGGGGCACACAAGGAGATTTCACCAGCACACACCCCCTGCCAGCGGTCAAAGTCAAACTATTCACCGAAAGCACCGGAGTCTTGGCACTGGAGGACAAAGAGCTGGGCAGGGTGAGCCACGAGTATGCGTTCCATCTTCACAATGTGCACAATTAAAGGCTGATGTTGCATGAACAGATGTTCTGCACACAGCGCGTGTGAACCGTGATGCGCACACACATGTGTTCATAAGTGTATGTGGGGAGAGTAAGCTACAGGCGAGGAAATCTCTAGTCATTAGGGCTCCTGCTCCCACAGTAACAGATGGAGTCTCCCCATTAGAGACTCGCACCAAACAGACTGCACATCCACCATCCTCTTTCCACCACGCATCTCTATGATTTTGTCAGTCTAACCCTCCTTTTTCTCTCAACTCCCATCATCCCTTTGCATCTCTTTCTCCAGCTGCCCATCCAGGTGTATCACTCCTAATAATCTGTTTTTCCTTCTTTCTCGCATTCTTGGTTAGGTGGTTCTTCACCCCACAACAAATGGGCCCAAAACGGCAGAGTTGCACAAAATGGTGGTGCCCAAGAACAGCCAAGACGTGGATCTTAAAATCAAACTGGCGGTCCGCATGGACAAGCCCCCCAACATGAAGCATAGCGGGTATGTCTTTTGATGATGCTCATATTCTGACCACTGGCATCTAAAGCTATTTTGTATCTATATTATTTAACTATTATGTACTGTTGGGGATGTTGTACACTCTGGGTGATTTTGTGTCTTCATTTGGCCATAACTTTTTTTGTGTTTCTGCTAGCAGAATGATTTTTGGTGACAAATCTTATTTTGACACGTATTTTGAGAAAATGTTTTAAATTTTAGAAAAACTTAACGATGGACTCTGAGCAAATGTACTACCCTATTGTTATATTATGGATTAAAACATCCACTTTTAAACAACCTCAGTCCCAATCAAAACTATTAAATTGTTTAGAAAATTACTGGATTTGAACTCTGATCACTGATTTGGTTAAAAAAAAAAACACAAAATTTCAATATAAAAAATAATAGCGTACTGGATTTTTTTTTAAGTCTTGGACATGTGAAACAACATTGCCTTTGATATTGTAAGGTCCAGCCAGTTGGTCCAATGGCGGTATCCACTGGTGGATGAAGGTTCACTGCATGTTCGGTCTTTCCAGTGCACAATGTTGATTTATATTAAACTTAACTCATATCTGACTCCAATTTTAGTATGAGGTGGTTTAGAATATTAATATATATATCCTCGTTTTATCTGACTCCAATTATAAAACATTGAGAAGATTATATCAATATGTAATTTAGATAAATGTTTGAACCGTTTGTCTTCACTAGTAACTATTACATCCGTTTATTCGGGTGCTCATGTCGCTCAGAGAAATTGCCTCGGCCGAAGGCGTCCCTCACGGTCACACTCCAGTCAGTCTTGAATATTAAACAGAGGTAAATTGACTAATACTTTAGATGGCCGCTACCAGCGCGCTCGTTCCAAAATACTTTAGTTAGTCCCGCTTAGATGTACACCTTTGAGTAAAGACGATCATCATTTCTAATTAGAGGTTAGGGCATTAATATAAATGTACCCGACTACTGGACTCTATAGTAACTTTGGTTTTCACCAATCCCATGGTTTCCCATATGAACTTAATTTAGAATAATATTACCTTCAAACAAAGGTCGGGTACCCAATCTAGGTTAGTCGTGCAACACCTTGTTGACCTAGACGGAAGTTATCGCCCTTTCCACCTAAGTACACATGAATCAATATCAAGAGTCAGCCGGATCGCTAAAACACAATTAGTGTGCCAATGCTCCATCTCAATTGGATTTTAGTCCGTCTACTGACCTGACGCAAGACGTGCGGAAACAAGGATACAGCGTAATCTACTTGAATTAATAATTACAGAGTGAGCAAAATATGGTCAAACATTACAATTTATTAGTCAGGTAAATGTATTATGCCAATTCAATCAGTCAATTCATAAATGATCAATACAAAACATCAAATTATCAAAGATAAATCCAAGATAAAAAAGATGCATTCCTGACTTTGAAATATACATAACATGGGGCAGACTCCATGTTATGGGCTGATCTGGTTAGGCAGAATCGCCCTGAGTTTTTCTCAAACCTTGCCCTAAATAATCCAAGAATTCCCTCAAGGAAGGGGGTGTGTGTAAAAAGTCACACCCTTCACAGTGGTTCAAAAGATGCCTGAAGTTATATATTTATTGTGTTGATTATGTCTATTTCTGAGAGAATGAGACCATTGTACCAATCACACTGAGACATTTCAAATGATATCAAACATGATAATTAAAGTCAGTTTGGTTAATCTAAAACATTCAAACATTGAAATGACCATATGTGTGAGTTGGGGGGATGAAGCTGAGTCTCAGCATAGTCAGATGCAAATGCAGCAGGAACTGGTTTTTCACGCATTCCCCCCTGGTGGGTTGTGGAGTCCATTGG